ATCTACAATCCATGACTTGATTCGTTTCGTACCTGATACACTTCCGATTCTATGTCTCTCCGTGCGAACAGGCAAAGCCTCGGAAGCAACTCTCCCGATGTTCTGACCAGAACCGTCGACAGATTTCCTCCGTCGCACGAATGGTTGACAAATCTCGCGATATTCCCGATCCTCGTGGCGTCGATGTTTACCCTTAGGCACGCCTGCCTCGAAGGAAGATGCTCCCTCACCACCAGAAGTGCTGGACTGAAACCTGTCGATCTTAGTTCGTCGTACATCTTCTGCCGTCTCCTCGCTTCCTCTGTCGTCAAGAGCTCGCCTTTTCCGGGGAAAACAAAACAAAACAATGGAGTTAGTTTTGAAGAGAACAAATGGGTGGACATTATTGCAGACAAAAACCCGATGAAGACCAAGCGCTGTTGTGTACGAATATCGATCTTGTTCCCTTGTTCAAACCAGCGATTGATCGACACAGCCTTAGTAGTTAACTAGCAGAATTCTATTCTACACTATACATTAAGAAGCAGCGTCGAAATTTGGCTAAAAAGGGGTCTAGACAGAGAACGATAACAGGATTCAGACCAGACCAGTAACTGGCTTCGCAAATGATCACGAATCACCACAACTAAAGAACAGATTGGTATTAATGTTCTTCTCTCCTAGCTCAGCAATTCGTAATCATCATCAAGCATCTAAAATTTCCTCCATAATCTCCTGAAGACCATTCTGATCAAACTCTCCATTGTTCAGATGAAGCTACATTTCCATATTCCAACCCTAGAACCTGACATCAACGTTCCTTTGTTCTTCTAATCTCAAATTCAACATTCAATTCAATTCAATTTCTTCCGCCGAACGAGCTAATACATTCATCCCCAAAGCTTTCAACCTTTTTTATTTTTTGGGCAAACAACGGAATCATTTCCAGAAGTACCAGAATTTACCTGCGTATTCGCAGATAAACTGGCCTTGCCTTATGAACTGATCGGCGTACAAGCACCAACCTTTCTTCTCGTCTCTTACGATCTTCAGACGAACCGAAATCCCTTTCTGCGTTACTCGGTTGGGACAATTCGACCCGCACCCGCAACCCGACCCGCATTCTTTCGCTATCTCCACGCCCGCAAGCGCCAGGCACGGGCAATACCCCTCGTCGCACGTCACGCAGCCACACCCACCAACTCTCTCCCCTGACTCGTCCACCAGATTCACCCCGAATCCACCCGCCGAGTCAGAGGAACGCCTCGACCCGTTTTCAGACGTCGACTCTGCCATCACACCTGAATCGCTGACCTCTCCATGACTAGAAACCGAAACCGAATCTGGGAGATCCTGTGACCCATTTCCCGAGTTCGGACCAACTCGACTCACCGGATTCCCACCGATTCCGTCCCATTCGCGGGCATCAGGAGCCGCTCCCCATTTCTGTCGCGGCGAGGGATAGGCCGGAGAAGAGGAGGCGAGAACCTGACGCGGGCTGTAGACGAAGTAGGCGTAGCGGTGACCATCGACGGCGTTGCGGAACGGCACAGGGAGGTTCTCGAGGGAACGAGCGGCGTCGATGGAACGACGGAGTGTAATGGATTTAGAGATTAGGGAAAGGGTTTTGCAGGTGAGGGAGATGGCAGCGAGCTCTTGGGCAGTCAGCCATGGAAGGATCAAGTTTGCGTATCGGAGGAAAGCACTGGTAGTCGCTGTGATGCTTTGGGTTTCATCAAGACGAGGTTTTTTGGGTGATTGTTGTTGCATTTTCTTGGAAGATAGCCGGAAAAAAAAAAAAACTCTCTTAATCTTAATAAGAAAAAGTGGAGATTTTTTATGATATTCCGTAGAGGTCGCTTATTGGGAGCCAATGGACTATCTGGAGGGATTCTCTTTGGAACCTCCTGCAAGTCAAACGACACCGTTCCTAAGCAATCTTCCGTCGTCGCATCGTTTTCACCTTTCTCTTCGTTCCAGACGGAAACTTCCAACGAGCTCGAATTCAGACTCTCCTTCTCGAACGCGAACACTTCAGAACCAAACCGAAGAAAACAAACGTTTGAACACTTTGTAAATTAAAACTATACAGAATACAAGGTTGGTATAAGTTCTGAAAAGAGTTTTTTTTTATATTAGGTGATTGTCCAGTGGCGGGGCTCGAACCGTGGTTGTGGAGCGCTTTTGCGTATGCCCACACCACTTTGCCACCCACTGCTGGGCCTGAAAAGAGTTACTAATAGCTAGTTGAATTAATTGGCTTTACGAATTAAATAAGGTAATTAATTTTGTATTAAATAAGTGTTGTTGTTGTCGTGTCATCGTCGGAGTTTGATTGGCGCTCCAACGGTCATCTCATACCGCTTTCGTACCTAAAGCCACCAATAAAAATAAGATTTTATTTGACTCAACGAAATTGAATATTGCCCACCCCCCCGCCCCCCACAAAACCCCTTAACGGTCACTTTTCCCACTTTTATCTTTTTGGCTCTCCCAACGAGAACGACGATTCCTTTACCACTCCTTCCAACAAAAACTTTAATATATTACTATAATTGACATAAATGGTACGGTAAAATTAAATAAAATATAAAACACGACAAGACAAAAAATTTTAAAAAACAAGGCCGTGGATCACAGGATCTGATCGGACATGGGAGGGAGTCGCCGGAAAAAGTTGACGGGAACCGAAGGCATGTCGTCTCTGAATCTCGGGTGTCGGAAATAGTAAAATCCGGACCCCAACACGAACACCTTAAACGGCACGACGTAGAACACAAACGACGCCAACAGGCAGAACACAACAAATATCCCCGTGGCACGTGGGTCCCGCCAGTTGACCAACGCCTCGAACCTCTCCCCCTGTGCCGCCACGTCACCCAACAGTGTCTGTGCCCTTCCGGCTAACGCCCTCAACCGGTCGTACCGGATCCGTACGATCTCCGGCGGTCTCGTCGTCGGGAACCCGTCGAACTCTTCGTCGAGCTCGTCGGCCGCGACAGCGTCCACACAGGAGAGACGAGGGTCCATGTTGAAAACGACGCGACCGCGGTAACGGAAACGGAGCGCGAGGATCAAGAAAGCGTACATGAAAACGGTCGGGAGGACAAGATGTGGACACAAGACAATGGCCACGAGAAGTAGGTGAACTAATACGGTGGTCGGTGGGTGGGCCCAAGTACGGATACCGTGGATCCAGCGAACGAGAGTAGCGGTGCGTGATAGGAACGTGATGACTCGGAACCAGTTGGCTTTACTACGCCTCACGCTCCACACGTGCGTATCAGTGTCCAGCATGAACTGGACCACCTCTTGGCCTAACGGTGGCTCAGACCGCGTGAGCCGGGCAGTGACGATTCTCATTGCGGTGTGACGGAGGATGTCTTGTTGGGCTGGACCGAGAGGCCGAACGTAGTGCATCCTCGGGAGCATCGGTGTTGTGTAAGCTTGTATGACGCTAATCCACGACGGGCATGAGAATCGAACCGCAAGCTCAATCTCTCCCATCTTCTTGGCCCCACTCGGTAGTAGAACCGTTAACGCGTAAGAGTTTACATACACACGGTTCATATCTAGCGTGGACAAACGTATACGTATTTTCCCAATCCGAAGGTCTCTATCTTTCACTTGTTTCCCGGATTCATCCCGTTTGTATCTGCCATTGTCGAATACGCCGATTGTGAGAACTGTACACGGGTCATACACATCCCACGTATACTGCTCGTTCCATCTCGGATTAAACCGGTCGAGGATTGTGCGTGTACGGATCCATTTCGGTCCGTATTTAGCCACAACGTATGCGTCGGTGGTACCACGTGTACCGTCCTTGGTTTTCACCGGTAGTAAATTTGTAGCCCCTCGGATTCCAACCTCGAGCAAACCGATGGGTGGCTTGGCTAGCTGTTTAGCGGCAGCTCGGACATCGCTTGTCACGTGAGCAGCCTCGTCTAGAACGTGATACCCACCTTCCAAGCAAACTTTCACGTGGATCCTACCGGCGTATGGCTTGTTCTCGTCTCCAGAGAGGTTGAACCATCTCGATTTCGGGTCTGTCCGGTCATCATTCCTCCTCTCGATGCTTCCCATGTGTATCTTGGTCTGACCGATCGATTGACCGTTCGTCACGTCTTCCACTGACACTACCAGAAACGGCTCAAACGGCTCAGCGGCTACGAAGACCAGATCCTCGTTCCATGTCGGGTTTCCCGAACCAGCCGAAGAAGGGGACAACCCGATATGCGTCCGAGCCGTTTTGAAGACCTGAGCGCCAAGCTGAGCCTTTACATACAGCTCGGCTGGAGCGTTGCCCTTCTGCTTAGCTTCAGATCCCAAACCAAGCTGCAAATCCTGGGTTTGGATGACCATTAGACGTAAATACCACAACTTCGGGGACAAGTAAACCTTGGATCGGGTCTCCGGGATCAACCCGCCAGAATCCGATTGCCACGCCTCTTGGAAAGCCTCATCTGCTTGAGTCCCGATCCAGACGGCGAGCATGACGTCATTTTCCGGTGACTTCTCCGACTCCAAACTGTACCATTGAGGAGCCAATGGACTATCTGGAGGGATTCTCTTTGGAACCTCCTGCAAGTCAAACGACACCGTTCCTAAGCAATCTTCCGTCGTCGCATCGTTTTCACCTTTCTCTTCGTTCCAGACGGAAACTTCCAACGAGCTCGAATTCAGACTCTCCTTCTCGAACGCGAACACTTGGTCCCAGTCTTTTCCTGTTTGCGTCTTCGTTTTCACGCTGTGTGTTCCAATCACTAGCTTTGCGTAGATCGGATGATTCGATTCGTTTTTCGCTCGCTTTGCTTTCGCGATGCGAACATACAGAAACGGCATCCGAGCCACGAGATCGTAACCGCCACGGTTTCGGTCGTTAGCTAGAGAGTGTAGCTCTAGATCGCTTCCGGTTAGACTATGCTGGTTTCCTATCACCGTTTTTTCTCCATCTCTGTGCTTCGCCTTCTCCGACTGAGCCAGAGGCGGATTCGTTAGCTAGAGAGTGTAGCTCTAGATCGCTTCCGGTTAGACTATGCTGGTTTCCTATCACCGTTTTTTCTCCATCTCTGTGCTTCGCCTTCTCCGCCTGAGCCAGAGGCGGATTCTGCCCCTCCGCCGGGGAAGCTGACGCCGGCGCCGGAGACTTCGCTGCTGCGTCAGGTGGCTTGGCCGTACTCTCCGCCGGAGCCTCAGATTTCTCCTCCGGTTTTGGTTCCTCCTTCGGTTTCTCCTCCTCTTTCTTCTCTTCTTCCTTCTTCTCCTCTGTTTTCGACTCTGCCTCCTTCTTCTCCTCCTCTGTTTTCGGATTCTCCGGCGGTTTCTCCTCCCCGGAGGCCGCGCCGTCTGGGGCCGCTGCCTCCGGTTTCTGCTCCGCCTCCGGTGGTGGCGGCGGAGACTCATCGACGTAATACACTTTTAACCCGATCTCTCCCTTAATCTGCGAGAACACGCTCCTCTTCTCCAACGGGTAATACACTAGAGTTTCGGATCCGATCTTCGCGAACGCATTTCCGGCGATCTTAACCTTACCGAGGAACGTGCTTCTCTTCCCGGTCTTCTTATCGTTGTACAGATTGATCTCTAGGATCTCCTCCGCCATGGATTCCAGATCGTGGACGAGGAACTCAAGCTTCTCGTCCCACTGCGGATTCAGATCTCGGAACTTCGTCTTCGTCCGCCGTCGTTGTCCATCGAAATCGACGATCGCGTACGCGCTCGCCGTCCCTTGCCCATCCTTCGGCATCAGATTCTTGGCGTTGCAGACCTCCACAATCAGCTTTCTCGGAGCAGTATCCGCCATTTTTGTACCGTAACAGAAAAAAAAATCAAAACCCTAGATGATGGATTCGTTTCAGATTAAGAAAATTGAAATCTTCGGTTTCTCTAAGATAGAAACGCAACTTAGATGGAGAGAGAGAGAGAGAGAGAGTGTATAAAGAAAGTAGTGAGTGAGAGCGTATTGGTGGTGGGGGATTTAAAAAGGATGAAGCGGGGGAGCTCAACCACGTCATCATAAACACGTGAGGAGATGTTGCCACGTGGCTTACAAGCTCCTCGAATTTTATTGTTTTTTTAATTTCGGCCACGCTGAGCTGGCAGGGCTGAGCACCGTGCCTGGTGCTGACGATGGAGACAAAGCGAATCATACTTAATTTAAATTATTTTTGAACAATTACCATTACTAATGTAACCTTATCAATGATACATTTCAAATCATAATATATAGACTATCTAAACCAATTATTTTGTTCAAAGAACCTGCTTTCACATATTTTATTTTTACCCTATGATTTTTCAATATAAACTTGGGTTTAGGAACTTATACTGATTTTATGTCTTTATTTTGTTAAAAAAAAGTTGGATAATTTTTTTCGGAAATACAAATGGCATTTTCTACTAATGCGTTCTATTGATCTTTTTTTTAATATTTTCATTAATCTATTGCAATCTGCTGCATGTACTTGTCGCTAACCCCCAACAAAATTATTACGAAAATGCAAAAACAAAAAACATCAATCAGAAGCCGTTAGTTACTGTTTCAATACACCTAATTGATCTTATTTTCAGTATATAAAAAAAAGTGAATTATTAGGCGCCTATATAACTGATAATGTATTTATTATGATTACACATAACTGATTCATGTTTTATATTTTTTACTTTTAATATAAGAAATTTTGCATTAATATTACATAAATAATTTGAAATCATTTGAGAAGCATACTATTAATTAAAGCATTAAGCATAATTAAGAGTGGAAATTACACTTTTAGTGGATCAAGATTGATTGAAAGGACAAAAAAAAAGAAAGATGAGAGAATCTTTGTGATATGGCCGCTCTTACCAAATCCTCTTTATTTTATTGTATTAACTCAACTCAATGTAAATGAAAAAGGGAATGAAGAAGCCAACTTGCTTTTTTTTTTTCTGCAAGTTTTTTTTCCTCTGCAAAAATGAACGTTGCTTTGTTTTCGAGCTTATATTAAATAAATGTATACAAATAAACGAATGAGTATGTAGATAATTAAATCAAGTAAATATAAAGCATGTACGATAACTTTTGTCGGACAATTTAATATTATTTTCTTTGTTTGGGAAATTTTAAATAGAACGCGATCCCTTTTATAAAAAAAATAATTAATATCCCGAATGAGATATAGGGCGGACGTTTCGATACGAATTTTATGAATCGAACCGTAGAAAAAAGTGGTATCTTTTTTGAATCGAGTGGTTTGAAATCTCGACCGGTAATATTTTAGAAACGAATTTTGTAGAATCGAACCGACTAGAATTGAATGTAAAAAACCGAAAAACAAAAAAAAAGATAAATTTTTTTAATAAAAACTGAAATCGAATCGAAACTAAATCGAATTCGAACACAAACTAAATACTGAAAAGCTCATTTCTACTCTTGGTTGCCAAAAATGCAAACTTTTTTAAAAATGTTTTATTAAAAAAATCAACAGACGCAACAAAATAATAATCAAACTTTTATAATAACCAATTTATGATATTTAAATTATTTTTAAAAAAAAAAGTATATATGGGTAGTGGCCATAAGTTGCAACAAATTTTTCCGGTGAGTCATGTTAGTTCGGGACCAATGTTCTCTAAGAGTGGACCATAAATAAAGGAGTTAATGTATTCCACCTATATACATCCCATATTGCTCCATGTATATACAAATATATATATATATATATATATGTCGAAAATTAATGGTTTTATCAAAACTATTTATGTAAATAAATAGTAAGAGATGGTTATACAAAATATATCTGGTGACGTGGATATTGTTGGGTCCACGTGGCGGACAGCTAATCGGCTCAATGGATACTCCTCTTTCACCAGATCCGTTCCTTTTTTCAGAAATCCATGTTTCTGCTAAACCCTAATCTAATCTCCAGTTAACTTTTTTTTTATAATCCTAGGGTTCACCAAACTTTTGTCTCAATTACATACCCTAAAAATCAAAGAAATTTGAGTAAATATCCTTCCCCATGTTTTGTACGTTCTCTTACAAATAGATCACCGAATTTGGATATCTCCGGTTACAAACGAACCAAAGATTAAAACTTTGGATATCTCCACTTGATGTAATGAAAATCTTGAATGTTTCAGAAAATATCTCTAATCAGACGTTACAAATTGTCAAAGATCGAACAAAACCTCTCAAATATGAAAGAAAACAAAACAGCTAAACCCCAAATATTCAATTGTAATGACAATATATAAAATCCAAAATGTATAAAATGACAACTAAGTTAGAAACATATATATATATATATATACACCTCTTTATTATGCATGGGCATGTTCCATGTTAATCATTTGTGTTGTTAATTCAGTTTGTGTACGAATTCCGTAGGAAAGGGCCTACATCCCTTTATATTATTACAATACATATATGTATACTATACTATATCATATGTGGTGGGTTCAATCCTTCAAAATATCCTATTCGATCGATTTATATTAGGGTTCCTATAAAATGGAAATATTTTTTTTGTATAAAAAACATAAGTTTATATATTGTATAAACTATTTTATATCCCAAAAAAAAGTTCAACCAACGGGGTTAGTGAAATCGAAATGGAGTACATGAAGTACTTCCCCATGTTATCAAGAGTATAACTCATTATCTACATCGCTGGATTTAATTTGACTATATAATATCTCATATAGAAAAATAATCATACAACAGAAGCCGAAGGGAATGTCTACAAAGTAGCTCGCACGCCCCCTTGCGTATATAATAAGTTTACCTCTCTTAATTAATCAAAGCTTTGACTTTAATTGCGCACGTCTTCGACATAAGGCTGCATTCGTTTCGAATCATTATTATATTCTATATCACCCCTTTGTCGGTCCATTTCCTTGTATATATATACACTCTCATGGTTGATATCAATACATAACGCAGGAAACCAAAACATCGTATCGCTATAATATCTATATAGAAAAAAATGAAAGGGGCCCATAAGTTTTCTTTCCTTGTCTTATCGTTCTTAATTTTCCCGATCGCATTTGCTCAGCTAAGGATCGGATTCTACAGCCGTTCATGCCCTCAGGCCGAGACTATCGTACGTGATTTGGTACGCCAACGTTTCGGCCGCGACCGTACCATCACCGCCGCTTTGCTTCGGATGCATTTCCACGACTGTTTCGTTAGGGTAAGATCCATGCAAACATATATTAACACGCATTATATATACGCCCAACAAAAAATACAAACATATATACATATACATATATATGTATATATATAAAGACCCTTAATGATCATCTTTCATGATGCCATTTCTCGTGTCCTTTAGGGCTGCGACGCCTCTCTCCTCATAGACACAACTTCCACGCGGACGTCGGAAAAATCGGCCGGACCGAACTTCAGCGTACGAGGATTCGATCTCATAGACCAGATCAAGACACAACTAGAGGCTCAGTGTCCGAGCACCGTCTCTTGCGCTGACATCGTGACGTTAGCCACTCGTGACTCGGTCGCATTGGCCGGTGGTCCCAGCTACACCGTCCCGACAGGCCGTCGAGACGGGCTCGTGTCGAGCCCTCTCGACGTGAACCTTCCCGGACCCACCATCTCCGTCGATGGAGCCATAGGGTTCTTCAAGAGCAAGAGAATGAACTCGTTTGACGCCGTGGCTCTTCTGGGCGCTCACACGGTCGGCGTTGGCCATTGCAGTCTTTTCCAAGACCGGCTCACTAATTTCCAGGGAACTGGACGACCTGACCCGTCCATGGACCCGGTTTTGGCTGCCAGGTGAGTTAAACCGGCCGGTTTAGATGTGTATATAAGAGAAACTAATAAATCTACGATCAATTCACGAATTGAATTGAAATCGGTTCAGTTATTCATAAACCGAACTGATTGGAACGGAATAATAGCTAACCATAATCGAATCAAACCCAAGATAAAAGCCAGACGGGTTTGATATTTTTATTTATAACCGATCCACTGAACCCAAACCGAATATAAAAAAATAAAAAACGTGTTTTTAAGATAATTATTTTTTTTGTTAAAAATTTAATTGCAACCTAATCAAATTTTATATAAAACTTGAACGGATACAGTTTTTTTTTTAAATCGAAAAAAAAACAAACGCGACTAGAAAAGGAATCGAACCCAAATAGAAAACCGAAATCTAAACCTCTAATTTTCATATCATATCAAGTTTTTATGGTGTTTTATAACCTTTTTTCTATGTAGTTATACTAACCACATTATACTATTTTTTTTGTTAAAGAACCACATTATATTATTGTAAACGGTTTTAATTTACATAGAATTGACGTCATAGGCTAAGGAGCACATGCGCGGGGCCAAACGACCCGACAACGGCATTGGACCAGGGAACACCCCTGGTGTTCGACAACATGTTCTTTAAACAGATCAGAAGGAAGAGAGGAGTGTTGCAGTTGGACCAACGGCTCGCTACCGCGGGAGCCACTCGCGGCCTGGTGGCTCTGTTCGAAGCCAACAACGCATTCTTCAAGCGCCAGTTCGTGAAATCTATCGTTAAAATGGGAACCATCGAAGTGCTCACTGGTCAATCCGGAGAGATCCGAAAGAACTGCAGAGCCTTCAACCGCCGAGCTTGACTCCTAATTCATATATATATGTATATGCAAATTATGGTCGAATGATTTCGTGGGTGGGTTCATAACAAAAATATAATTGATTTGTGATATTATATAAATGTGTGTAACTGTTTGCTGTGTTGAATTTGATTTTTTTTTTTAATAAAGAGTTGAATTTGATTTGTGTGGTCATAAAATATTTTTTTACATTTTTTTAGAGAAAATTTGATCATATGGGCTTTTAATAATGTATCTATTGGGTTTATGATTGGCCCATCCAGTGGACCATCGAATGGGCACGTTCGCATGCTGTCTTGGTGACTTGAATTATAATATAGATTTATAAAGATATCATAACAATGCTAATAATCAAACTATAGCTGCAATCTTAAAAATAGATGTTGAAATAAATACATCAATTTTCTCGTACGCTATCATTCTAGAAATAAATTTTATGCATTTAATTCTCTATTATTTTTTTGTTACCAATACAACAGTTTCATGAAGATGAACAGGGCACATTTATGGATACCATTATAGATTGGATGTTTATTAAAAAACTATTACTCCATCCATTTCAAAATAATTGTAGTTTTAAATTATCTCACATTTAAAAAAATAAAATAAAAAGTCATATATACCCTTATTTAATATTTTTATTAATATAATTTGATGATAAAAACAATGTTGTCATTAATAATTTATTAAAATATATTAGGGATAAAATTGAAAAGTATTGTAAAAAGATGTTTTGAAAATATAGAATGACAAATATTTTGAAACATGAAAAATAACCTAAAACTACAATTATGTTGAAACGGAAGGAGTAAAAAAAACTCAAAAACACTCTAATTTCTACCGTATCAATGTGTAAATTTTAATTATAATAAAATAATATATATCATCTGTATTAAATTTTAATAAAATAATATATATCAATGTTTGACATTTTAATTGATTAAAAAAATGATATTTAATACCTCTTACTGGCAATCTGACTCTTTAAATACCATGTACAATGAATACCATTGACAATAAAAAGATTCGTTAATACTAATCAAGACATATATCAAATTTGTTAAGATTATATTTGTATATTGATAAAGATATTACTATGGTGTAGTATTTAAACTAAATTCTATCGATTTAATCTGATAAAATAAAAAGTCTTTTTAACGATATTTTCCTTTTTTTCCCGTCCGGCACTAAAAAACTTCAAAAAAAAAAAAGCACAGAGTATATAAACACTACGACAAGAACCACAAAAAAAAAGACTTGAAATAAAATAAACCCTATTACCCTTTTTTTTTAATCGAGGGGGGGGGGGGGG